CCAATACAATTTATGTTTTCAATCACAGCAAATTATATAGAAAATTAGTAATTTTTGTGTAAAACTCAATTATGCAGTTTCTTAAATGAAATTTTAGAAAGAAAATCAGGTGACGGATTGTCTGGGTGCTATTCTCACTGCATTACTGCACTCGGCTTATCAAGCCTTTGAGAAACATCACTAGTATGTTGACTAATTAACGAAAATCTGTAAATTAACTGTTTGGGGCTATGTTGCAATTGTAGTTAAGCAAACCATTGTTAGGGTACTATCGAATTGAAACAATCTGCAAAAGGGCAACAAGCTTTTAGATATTCAGAGCTGAAATTACGCCTTTTGTGTCCTGGTTAAAAAACTGCATACTGGAAGGAGCGCGTTATGTTGCGCTCACATAGTCGTTTTGGTCTGGCTTGCGGGTTTTCAGTCAAGCCATGAAAGGCAAAATTTATATCTAAAAACTTGTAGCCTTTTATAAATTGTTCAAATTCGGCAAGGCTTTAATAATAGCTCCATTTAAAAGTGCAATTGCAACACTCTCTAATAAACGGTTCTAATGTCAACCAATCACAATAATTATAAGGAAAACATCCACATACATACCTATTACCTTTTCGTTTTTCTTAATAGAGAAAAAGAACAAAAATTGTTATATATTGTTTTACACTAGACAAGATGTATCAGTCATACTTAACCTCATTTCTCTGAATATTACAGAAAATTTGTAATCTTCCAAGGTGTGCTTTAAAACTATATGGGGGAATAAATAATGAACTACAGTACCAAAAAACCGAACAGACTAAATGGAAAAACAATATAATTTTAATTTCAACCAGAAACCAGCTAAAATCAGTTTTTTTTGTGAAGTATCAATTTTCATACTTTAATCTGTATTTACCTGTTAAGGCCATTGTTTTATTCAGTTACCACTTGTAGTGACATTTAGTCTTTTATTTCGTAGTGTAAATAATTTTTCGTGGCAACACAGCTCATTTGTACATATTATGTGAAGGCACCGGAGGGGTTCTATGATAGTTCTAAAAGGATAAGCAGCAACAAAATGCTTGCCATTTCGACCCGAAGAGCTGCTTGGTCGTCTTCCGAACTGCTGTGCTCAACAACCTGGTCAAGGACTTTAGGTAGAGGGATCCTCTTGCCCCTTTTGATCCTCTCCTCGATCGACGACTTTGAGTCTGCAAAGTGGTACACACAATAACATATAGGGCAAGTCTCCTCTGGTGTGCTGCTGTGAGGAACTGCATTGATATATATCACCTGCCAAAAGTAGTATTTGGGCTTTAAAACAGCCCGGCTCCCTTCCGTCTGGAGTCAACAAAGCATCATAGAGGTGACCCTTCTTGTAGTCATCCTCACTTCTCGGTTCAAAGTTTTTAATTGCAGATGTACTGATGATAGTCTTAGGTCGTGCTGTTCCAGTAAAATATTGCACATATGCGAAATTCATCTCTGTAAGAAAAGAATACAATCGAATTTAATGTGAAGTAATCGCAATATGTTCAAACAATTCCAACCGTCACATCCGCATGTGGTGGAGAAAATGTGGCTGATCAGCGAGGTAATTTATTACACAAACAAAGCACCAAGGCAAGACGAGACTACACCAATTCCCGATTAATATTTTTATATTAATTATACGCCTTAATCAACCGTGACAGCGTGCGGTCTAGAGAAGCTCGTTCTAACGAACGCAGTTTTAGCGAAAACAGTTTCTTCGAGCTGCCTCGAAAGTAGAAACTCGGTTTCGAGAAGATGGCAACCCCCGGCATGCTGCTTCCGATGTTTCTCTGATTCATCAGCCTAGCTTGCCGAGTACTCAGCGATGAACCCTTGTAGGTGCGTGCTCGAACTTGAGATTAACATTCCTTCGAGCGACAGCGAGCGCGCGTAGCATGGTTTGCTTGCAAGTGTAGGTTCCCGCCGTGCACACATCGCATTTCTCTAAACCACACTTCGATAAAACGTACTCTTTTCGCTTTATATATAAATATGAAAGAAGAAGAAGAAGAAGAAGAAGACGAAAAAGAAGTGAGAGAAAAAAAAAAAAAAACGCGTGCAACGCAGTTTCGTTTCGCCGATCCAACCATGCGCCGGCGCAAACTGCTGCCTGAATCGCAGTTTCGTTTCGCCGATCCAACCATGCGCCGGCGCAAACTGCTGTTGAACTATATTTTACTGCAATAAAATCTTACCCTTTCTTCCTGTAGGAATAGATGTCCTGCGGTCTTTTCAGCAACTGAAAGCTCATACGCAGCAGGTGATGCAACCAAAACTAGCAGCTCAACTGGCTCAACCGGCTCAACTGAAACCGCGCGCCGACTCCGGCTGGCCATATGGCGAGACGGCCACCTAACACCCATGGCAAATACAGAAGAGAAGGATAACTCTAATAAAAAAAATTAAGTTTCATTTTACAACTTAGAATTATATTTAGTTCAGGACGTTGTTATTAGCACTATAGACTGTAAAGATGGTTTTGTTTACAATGCGGTTTATGGCGCGATGGCGTGCGTTTCACGTTTTCGAAGTACCCACGTCCCCGGGTAGCCATCCCGCCAATCCCGCTACTACAGCCACTGTACCGCTACTAATCCCGCTTCCCGCTCTTCCCGCGTCATTCTTCGCCATTATTGCTCGTCAAACAAGCGCTACGCCGATTCTGCCGAAACTTCTGCATATGAAACGGCATTATGGCCAGTAAGCAGCGGCCGAAGCAATACCGACTTTACCTGGCACCTTTATCCGAAGAGAGCGTGCCGCGGTCGACGCGTGCTCGGTGGCATCAGACCGAAAAGGTAGGCTTTTATAGTCGGTGAACCGTAAGATTTTATTGACGAAATCTTTTTGTTGTCAGATTCTTGCTGAAGGCGCCCCGCCACCTTTGGAGCAGAAGTCAGCTGCGCAGTCTCACAATCGTGGAGATGTGAGTTTGTTCATTTCAAGCGTTACTTCATGCATGGTCTTTCGTTGTTAAATACCGTGTGCGTTCGCTCTCGTCTTTCTCTGTATCGAGCCACTGCTTCCAACCTCCGGCTCCTATGCTTTGCTGCAGTGCTTCTGGGCTGGGCTTTGTGAGCGAATATCTGACGAATAGGCGATGAAGCTCGCCCGACGGCGCTCGATGTGCGCGTGCGAACGCCCCGGGGCGAGCTTCGTCGCTTTTTGAACACAAATATGGCAAAACTTGCAACTTGCTTTTTGGACACAAATAGGGGAAAACTTGCACTTGTATGGGAAAACTTGCAACGAAAATCTGAAAGAAAATTCTATCATGTAAGACCCCACACGGCCCAAGACCTCAAAAGCCTTGACGATGTCAAGAACGACGACGACGACGTCTTGGAAATCGAAGACGTCTTGGGCGCCTTAGATTGAAATCTTTGGAATACGGACAAAAAATTTAAGAAAGCGCGAAATTGACGTGTGGTGCTACTCGATCGAACATATAATGTCCCTATAACCTAAACTCATACTGTGCGTGCCGTTCTTTCTCATGTTCAAGCTTTCTTAATTTTTGTCAAATACTGTAAAACGTTTTTATTGTGCGGCCTTTATATTTTTTAAATCCGGCTGGGACCATCATGGCTTGCACGTGACGTCAAAGCTGCTCTTCTTGCTGGTGGTGAAAGCGTGCCGTTAATGCACTGGAAGCTGCGCCGACTCGTTTCCGCCCGCTGGTAACGCTTGTTTTTTGGTTGTAGAATTAGTACTGTAAAGGCTATGCACCACCACCAGAGAGGATCAAATTATGTTGGTGCAGGCTATTCCAGGGGTCCAAATCCAGGCCTTTAAAGGTTGGATTATTTGTGTACGGTTAAACTAAGTTCTAAATCTTTTCTAATTAGTGAAATTGTGGCTCGCGAGCAGCAATAGTTTTACAGCATCTGTTTCATGGGGTCCATCTTGTGGGGAAGGAGGATGCCCTGCAAGAGCACGTTCTTCAGAGCATGAAACATAATTTTCACGTGCCTTCCCGCTCGACTGCTGGTTTAATCTACAGGGTGAAACAAGGAGACGGCAGGCTCTTTAAATCGACCGGAAAATTCGGTTTCTTAACCTATCGCGCTACGACTTTGTGCAGCGTTGCCCACAGATGGTGCATTTTTTTTTGTAAAATTTGCAAAGAGCGAACTTACCTGAGGAAGAAGTAAAGAAAGAAAAAGGCTTAGCTCCTATGGAAACGCAGCGAAGCCACCGGTCTTCAAACACGGCGCCGTTGCGCACGGGAGACAAGAGATGGCGCAAGCGGTCGCGACGCCAACTGCCTCCAACGAACGAGCAGACGACGCCGAGAGCCGGCGTATTTAGCAGACAACGAACTGCAGTTCCTCGTTGTTACCGCGTCTGTTTTTGTTTCTGCGACTGTCGCCGCCTGCGGAACGAGTGTTGCTTTTGAGTCGAAAAGATTGTCTGCTGACGCTGGCACTCGGCGCCGTATGCTCGTTCGTTGACGGCGTTCGTTGCGCCATCTCTTGTGTCCCGTGCGAAACGGCGCCGTGTTGTTTGAAGACCGGTGGCGTCGCTGAGTTTCCGTCGGAGCTAAGCCTTTTTCTTTCTTTACTTTTTCCTCAGGTAAGTTCGCTGTTTTGCAAATTTTACAAAAAAAAAAAATGCACCATTTGTGGGCAACGCTGCACAAAGTCGTAGCGCGATAGGTTAAGAAACCGAATTTTCCGGTCGATTTAAAGAGCCTGCCGTCTCCTTGTTTCACCCTGTAGATATGAGTATGTCTGCTCCTGAGCACTGAAATGGGTCTCATGTACGGTTGGTTGGTGTGGGGTAGAGTGCTGCAGAAGCTCTACCTCCTGTAGACGCTCGTTACCTCCGAAGCGCCAAAGCACAAGTGTGCTTCGGTTACGCATTCATGCTTGTGCTATCAAGGCTAGAAAGTTTTTGCTGCCGGGGGGGGGGGGGGGCGGGGCGGGCGGGGGGGGCGGGCGGGGGGGGGAAGTGAAGGGGGTGGGTGGGTGGGTGGGTGGGTGGAGGTGGAGGTGGAGGTGGAGGTGGAGGAGGAAGAGGGGCGCAGCTTCCCGTGTGGCTTCAGCCTGTCAGCGACCATGGTGCCAAATGGCTTCCGAAGGACAGTTTGCTGCACCAGCACATGTGTTGCGCTCTGAAGGTCTTTTGCAAAATATAGTGCCTGATACTGCTCGCATTGGTGTTGATGATATGCCCAATGCTATTTGATGTCAGACAGTATATTGCCTTTTTTTTATTTGTTGCTGTAAACACTCTTTTATAGGGTCCGCCATGTTCTGGACAAGGGATTGAAGCTTGTTTGACCACTGGCCACCTAAGTGAGACAGACTGCAGTGGGCCAACTTCTCGACAGAGTGAGATTTCTTTGGCTGAAATGTCACCGGTGTTGCTCTCGGGTGAAATTCCGCAAACTGAAAGTATGTGTGAGGAGGCCGAGTCTCCGTGCAGCGCAGACAGCCTTTCGAGCTTCTCAGTTAGCTCTCCGGGGAGCTCAGAGTGCGAAGAGAAGGACATTCAGAGCGAAGGAGAGCAGCCTGGCTCTCCTACTGAACATGTTTCTGATGCACCATCAGCATTCAGCGTCAAGGGTTTTGACTTGACTACTCAAATTTGCAAATGTACAACAACGACCGTAGCGGAAGTGCTTGTTCTTCTGCTGTCATTTCTTGCAAAGCACCGGCCTACTGTGTCAGCCTTGGTTGACATCCTGCAGCTCTTCAATGTCGTGTTCCAGAAGGACATCCTGCCTAGTACAAAGTACCTGTTCAACAAAGCATTTTCCAGTCCCTCCCTCATGATGCAGTATCACATGTACTGTGAGTATTGTCTAGGATATGTTGGCATCCGAGAGCAGCTACGTTTGCAACAGTCAACATGTCCACATTGCCACCAGAAATTTTCAGTGACAACTTCACCCTACTTTCTCATGTTACCCCTTGCACCACAACTAAAGTTCATGTTGGAAAATCAACCAGGGTTGGTCCAGGAACTTCAATACAGGAATGAAAAGAAACACAAAAATATATCCTGTCTTGAAGACATCTTTGATGGCACTCTGTATCAGGAACTTTCCAAACCTGGTGGCCTCTTGTCTTTCTGTAACAATTTTTCATTTTCTTTTAACACTGATGGAGCTCCAGTGTTCAAATCTTCCCGTGCCTCTGTGTGGCCTATTCATATCATGCTAAATGAACTACCACCAGTGTCCAGGGAAAAGAATTTGCTGCTGGCAGGCTTGTGGTATGGTAAGGGGGAACCAAACATAGATATGTTTCTGAAGTCGTTTGTCGATGATGCAAAGCATCTGGCTACAATAGGAGTTACATGGAAGCATGTTGATGGTACCCTTATTAATAGTAAATTCGTTGCAACCTGTTGCTGCGTAGACAGCGTTGCTCGTCCTGCGATGCAAAAGTTAATGCAGTTCAATGGCTATTATTCTTGTGGGTGGTGTTACCACCCTGGTGAGAACGTAGGTAATGTTGTCAAGTACCCTGTAGGCCCAGAATGCTACCCCGACAGGACTAATGAGACAATGGAAAAGGAAATGGAACAAGCATTTGTAACGAAGACAACCATTTTTGGTGTCAAGGGCCCGTCTGCATTGATAAACATGCCAAAGTTTGGGATAGTATCTGGGTTCGTACCAGACTACATGCATGCTGTCCTTCTTGGGGTGGTACGGCAACTAGCAGAGCTATGGTTCTCGTCTGTTGGTGAAAAGTTTTATATTGGAGAGCCCTCGACTGTAGCTAAAATTAACAAGAGATTAGAAAGGATGTTTCCCCCCAAAGCTGTTTCTCGACTGCCAAGGCCCATTTCTGAGCGACGGTTCTGGAAGGCGTCGGAGTGGAAATGCTGGTTGTTGTACTATGCTTTTCCTTGCCTGGATGGCATTCTTCCAAGAAAATATCATTTTGCTTTGCTTTCACAGAGTGTGTATGCTCTGCTCAAGGACTCTGTGACGCATACAGATGTGAATAATGCCGACCTTATGTTGACCGAGTTTGTTTGTGGGATGCAAGAGTTGTACACGAAAACGTCAATGACATATAACGTCCATCTTCTCACTCATCTGCCGAAAAGCGTAAAAGAGTGGGGCCCGTTATGGGCCCATTCTGCTTTTGCATATGAATCTGCAAACGGCTTTCTTTTAAAATTAGCAAAAGGGACACGAAAAGTACCTCTGCAAATAGCCAAGAGTTATCTTTTGTACCGCTCTGTGTACTACTTCGTTAAATGCTACATCAGGCAACAAACAGTGCAAGGGTTTTGTGAGGGCTTGCTTGGGTCAAAGCGCTTAGTGCATACAAATGAGGTGGAGAAATGCCACCTTATTGGCAAAGGCTTAAAACATGGAAGTAGCCACAATTTTTTTGGTAGCTCTGTTGTTTTACCTGGCAGTGTCTGTACTGTGTATAAAAGGGTGATTGCAGGAGGTGAGTTGTTGCACTCTAAAGAATATGGTAAATGCAAGCGTCGCAATAATTCCTTTGTACAATTGAAAAACGGGTTGTGTGGAGAAATATTGAAAATCTGTGTATACAAGGAAAATGGTGTTCACCGTTGTGTGCTACTTCTTGAAGAGTATGTCTCGTCAAGAACGCTTCATGTGACCCATGTAAATGAGTATTATTCTAAGCAGAATGTGAGGATTGTCTCAGCAGACAATGTCTTGTCAAAATTTGTTGTCATGCGGTCAGGCAACAGGTTATTTGCCAGCCTTTTGCCCAACTATTATGAAAAGGAGTAACCATCATGTCATGTTAGTAGGTATGTTTGATTTGCCTACACCACCTGCACTGGTACTCTCAGTGTATGTACATCACTGTATCCTACTTGTTGGTGCAGACTATCTTGAGGACTCTTTAGGGCCTTATTGTGTTTGGTCTCCAGGATCGAAATATTGTAACAAAAGGACGAGGACAGAACCACTTGTGGTGTCTGTCCTTGTTCCATTATGTGAAATGCCTTTAATCCTGGACAATGCATACCGTAATTACATTGCCCTGCACTGTACACTTTCTGCACCATGCAGGTGGGTGCAGCTAAATCAAGCATACCTACTGACATTAGCAGGGTGTCTACCAACCTAAAAAAGCTATAATTGCAAATGAACTTTTGAGCTTCTGAAAAAGTCAGGGAAATCATGAAAAACTTAGCTAAATCTGAGAAAATGATCACTGACTTAACAGAGCCATCTATGTAGCATTTTGTTTAGAGGGAAACAGCCATATGGTTTTGGCGTCAGCCTTTCTTGGCATGTGCGTCCCTCCTGCCGCACGGAACTACAAGTGTAGCTAGTTCTGAAGTTTCACATGTAAAAGAAAACCTAGAAAAGTCTGCGAATTTGACATGTAATAGTTTGGTAGACACCATGATTAAGCAATAATGTAGGGATAATTGCTCTTTGGGAGAAGTCTTTTCATAAAGATGAAGGTGACTAGGGCTGTATTAAACAAGAACACGTACAATGGGTTACTGTATGCAAAATGCTTTACTTTTGTACTGTGAAAGGTTGCAGCTTCCAGTTAAAATAAAGCATTGTATTTGAAAGAGCAGTTGTGATATTCTTGTGTACCAGTACCTACTACTGCTTTACAGGCTGCTGCAAGTTTGTTCCCTGCATGAAAATCTGAATGTTCATACGATTGGGACTTCAGTTCTACTCGGGGCACTATAAAAAAAAAAAAATCTTGTGCCATACAAAAGCCAATTATACCAATTATTTTCAGGTTGGCATAATAGTGAGCATAGATGGTTGTGCGACTGGGGGAGGGAACCCTCTGGTGCGGCCTTGGCATGGTAATTGAGCTTGTATTTAGTATATAACAAGTCGGTGATAATACGTCAAGGTATGGACACTAATGAGCAAACTCTTAGTCCTAATAAGTGCTTGCCGACTCTAGAGATTGACTTCACTTGTCAACGCCTTCACGCTGCAGCTTCCCTGTAGTGTTTAGAGTGGCAGTAATAAGCGAACGAGGCATCACGCAGATTGGTGCTAATGGTCTTCATAGACTCTGCCAGCTATCGTCTACAAACTTGGCTTTGGAAGTTGGTTGCCCCGGATTGCAGCTTCCCTGTAGTGTTTCTACAAGCACCAATGAGAAAATGGTGAGATTGCTTGAGATCTCCCTAAAGTTGGCTTCACCTGCTTTATGAAGTAACCCTTCCCCCGGATTTTGTCTTTCCTGCAATGTATCCCATGGCCCGAATGAGAAAATGTCTTTTTAACCACATTGGTGCTATCGGCGCCAATGTGCTCATAGGAGCACATTGGTGCTCATAGAAACTTGCCCGAGTTCTTTCCCCAAGGTTGGCTTCACCTCAATCAGAAAACTGCAGCTTTTCTAAGATTGTGGCTTCCCTGCAGTCTTCCTATGTGCACCAATGAGAAAACTCTTGGTTTTGCACATTCGTGTTACACTGCACATTGGCACACATTAATTCTGACTACTTCCTCAATGTGAATGTGCGCCTCATTTCCAGCAGGGTAGCGCGGGGACGACCAACATCTTCTGCTTCGCTGCTTCTTTACTTCTACGACAAAGGCCGACACCCGTTGACCCGTCTCCACTCTTTCCATTTTTTTGTCTTCTTTCTTTTATATATTTAAGGCGACGCCACTCTGCCGCGTTATTTCTTCCTCCTGCCTATATATGTTGTTGTGTATATTTTTTGTTTTCTTTTTTCTTCTTGCGTTTTTTTTTTTTTTTTTTTTTGCCCGACGTGTAAATTATCGCGTATTCTTGCTTTGTTTGGCTTAGTTTTTACTCCCTTTCCTTCGCTTCGGCGCTTGCCCGGTTCGTCTGCGCTAGACCCGGGCGTTTTGAGGGCCGTCTGCAACTTTGCTGTTGTTGTTGTTGTTTTCTTCCACTCTCGTCTGCGATAACCTCCTATTTTCGCTTTCGATTGAGTTTCTAATCCAAAATCGTCATACGTGCTTTTTGATATTTATTAAATATATTAAGAAGTGTAAGCTCGTTACCCATTTTTATTCGAATTTTATTTGTGTACTCCGGCCGGCACGTCTGCTGCAGGTCATCGTTTGTTGATCAACCGGCCGCATTCAAGAACAAGTTTGTGCGATGTGGTGCCTACCATTGCAAGAACAAGTTTGTGCGATGTGGTGGAAAATCTTTCTTCTGCTTCCTACGTCAACCTACGGACACCTACGTCAACAAGTACTTGGATGCACTTTTAAACTGCTTCGTCAAGAGAGCGAACGAACTACCCGCCAAAGTCACTGGAAAAAGAAATTCGAAAGCAAAAGAAAGTTACTCACTGCTAGCACATATAGAAGATTGCTGCCTGCGACCAAAACATTTCTGCGACTCTTTTTTACCGGGCAGTGTGAGCTGCACTACGTTATTTGTTTCCCCTGTTTTGTTTTTAGTTCGTACCTACGCCGCGAAAGCAAATAAAGAAATGTACAACAAGCAGCTGAAAAAAAAAGGGTCGCTTTCTTCTTTTTTTATTAGTTTCGTCTGTTGCTTCCGCTTTGTTTGTCGTGAACTCAACACCGGTGGTGACCACCAGCTATTCATTTGCTGCTTTCCATTTTTTTTTTTTTCTATAAGCGCCGCAACGATCGTCGTCGTTAAAATAGTTTTTTGCTAGCTTCTTTGTTTTATTCGCCATTGTTAGCTTCTCTTTCGCGTTTCTTCTTATTTCCGTCCAGAATGGCGACACCATTTTTTCTACAAAGTTTGGTAAGTGTTTGCACGTTCATTTTTATCCTTACTTTTTGTTTTCTTTTTATGCTCCAGCAGCTCGTGCGCTTGCTCTGGTAATATTAACATGTCGTTTTTGCATGTTTTAATGATTACGACGTAGTTCGAGTAGCTAAACGCCTTTTTTCCGCTTCCGAGACGCGTTTGAAACGCGCGTGATCCCCTGAGAGGCGTTTGAGACCGCTAAATAAACTGCTCTATCTTTGTTTATGCGCGCGTTGTTATTCGATTGTCGTTGCAGTTGCGATCAGTGGATTCCACTTTGCAAGCGAACTGACCGTAATAAATTGTTTCTGCTGTTAGGGTGACGATACGGGGCTTGTAAAGCTCGAGGACGTCGCGGAGCCTATACTTTTCCATTGCGACGACTGCTTCCGTAGACTCCGAGTCCGCTAGAGGCGCCACTGTCACGTTCGCCGCCGCTTCTATGTGTTTTCGGAGGAGTTTCCAGTATTGGCGAAGCTATATCGTATTTGATATTATGTTGTGCCTGTCATCAACCCTCTCGTAAAAGTTGGGGCCGTCAGTTTGATGTCAGTGGGCTGCACGGCGAAGTCAAGTTTTGGAGTGTCCTATATCTGACAGGGGATGTATTCAAGCATTGTTTGGCGTAAGTACCCCCCCCCCCCCCCCCTCCCTCGCTGTAATGCCGAAAGGCGCTGCGGGTGTTGGATAAATTTATAAATAAATAAATAAGGACTACAACATCTTTTTTTTTTTTGAGTGATGAGCATGGCAACGCCCCTGGCGCGCACTGACAATTGTGCTTCAAAGGCGCAGCGCGAGCTTGCGGTTTTAATGCTACACCGCGCGGTAAGCTGCGGTAACAATCTTTCTATTAATAACCACAGAGCAGTTTGATTGCGTGTTGCAATACACTAAAACCGAGACGGTGAGCAGCGAGTTGTGAGGTTGTGACGCGAAGGCACCAATATTGTGAACGCTGCTGTTCCGAAGCTTGACGGTCACCGTTCGCGGCTCTCTTTTTAGAGCACTAATGGCCAGGCAAAGCGGAAACATATCTTCATCACCCTCAAAAATATTCTGCCACAAGCAGTAACGTGGCCGGTGCCTAAAACGCGCTCGCTCACCACAAAGCTTCGTAATTTTAGGTTTCTGAAACTTCTAAATACCAGCATGCTCGTTTTCCTAACGTGCATAAGCATCCCCTTCACCTGTAAAATGATCCCTCCCTAACCGCTTCGCATTTGTAGACAAATAAATCATTTTGTAGCGCGCTGAACGGCGTCAGCGAGCAGGCGCACGGGATATCCTGGAGAATCTATCCCCGTCTCTTCCGCCATCTTGGAACTACCGCCTCGCCACCTATAGGGCGTTGGAGTTGCGAATAGTAACGACGCGACGAGAGCAGTCTTCCGTGGCGTTTGCTTGAAAGACTTGTTTTCAAACATTACTCGCGTTATGCGAAATTCAAAACGTGGCACGGCGGCGCGCCCACT